GAATCTGTGTGGTGGGCGGGACCCCCTGGGAGGTGACTGAATCTGTTTTGTGGGAGGGGCCCAGGGGGAGATGACAGAATCATGGGGTGGTCTCCCCCATACTGTTCTCATGGTGGTGAAGAAGTCGGAGATCCGATGTAAACGTTTTATAAGGGGTTTCCCCATTCGCTTGATTTTCATTCTCTCCTGCTGCTGCCATGTAAGAGGTGCCTTTGCCTTCCGCCATGACTGTGGGGCCTCCCCAGCCACGTGGAACCAAATCCATCCAACCTCTTCTTCATAAATTGCCCAGTCTCGGGTATGTCTTTATCAGCAGCATGAGTACTGACTGATGCACCCACCAAGAGACGGCAGGTGGCTTTGCAGAGACCCCAGGGACACCCATTTGCTCTTGTTGCTCCAGACGACCCAGCACTTGTTGGAGAGAGACAGCAGCCTCCGCTCCCATCCTGGCAGCATCCGTGGGACTCCCGACATGAGAGCGTCCAGAGCAGGTGCCTCTGAGGAACCGTCCCAGGAGGCCAGGCAGTGCCAGAGTGTGCGTGAGGCCAGGGCTCCCACCCTGCACCCACCACTTAGCCAAAGAGCTGAGGCCTCCTGGACGCTGAGCGGCTCTGGGCTCTTCAAGAGACGAGACTGGAAGGAGGGGAGCCTGCGGCCTGGGGGTCACACCTGCTTCCCCCTGACGCTGAGGAGCCCCGGGCACAGGAAGCGGGTCCTGGGGGCCGCCCAAATAAGCCACGCCCTTGTAAGGGTTGTTTTGAGCTGAAGCAGCCGTCCATGAGGGTAAGAACGCTGCTTTCTTCTGGCTCTGGAGAGCGTCTTCCCCGTGGGGTGTTCCTCCTCTTTCGGGAAGGAAAGGCCATTCCCAGCCACACAGACCGTGCTGGAGTGCGCGTGCCTTCCTCCAGCTCATCTGCCGATTTTAATTCTCGGGCCCAACCGAAAAACACCGAGAGGTAAAACGTTGCCTCCCCACCCACCGTGGTCTGGAGGCTGGAGGAGATTTTCTGTTCGACTCAGTACAGGCTGAGCTCTGTCCCGGCAAATCCCCGTGCTGGAGCTGTGACCCCGTGACCCTCAGGACCCCAGGGTGTGGCTGCGCTTGGGCGTGGAGCTGTAGAGATTGTGAAGCTAAAGCGAGGCCGTGCGCGTGGCCCTGACCCCGGGTGGCCGGCGTCCTTATGAGAAGGGGAGACGGGGACGCAGCACACAGGACGACCATGTGAGGACACGGAATATCGAGGACGCAGCACACAGGATGACCATGTGAGGAATACGTCCTCTTCGCGCCAAGGAGAGAGCCTGGGTGTGAGACACTTTGCCCCCAGCACCAGAGGGAATGGGCTCCCACTGTTTAAGCCGCCTGCCTGAGCAAACCCACACGGACCGCCTGGCAAGGCCTCGCTGGAGCCGCGGCCACAGCAGGGTTTCGTCCTGGTGCCCTGTGGCTGGGGGGAGGCGCGGGGCCGGCAGCGTTTGCACCGCACCACTGCCTGCAGGGCTGCCTTTGTCTTCCTGAGTTATCTGTGTCCCGTTTGCCCTGATAGGGAGAGAAAGACTCAAACACCCCGTCACAGAGGGAGACCTGCATCTGTGCTGCAGGCAGCCTTGTTAGGGTCTGGTGCCGGTTCCCCGCCCTCCCTGGTGGAGAGACCAGACGTGAAAACACAGAACCCGCCCCAGCCCCGGCCTGCGGGAAAGAAGGGAAAGCACAGAACCCGCCCCAGCCCCGGCCTGCACAGAAAGCCGCGCTGTGCTGCCTGGGACCAGCCGATCTTTGGCCTCTGACCTTCCAGTGATGTCACAGCAGCCCCCTGGCAACAGCGCACCCAGCACCTCCTGACTACTCCCTGTGGGACGGCTGGGTGTGAGGGTGGCAGCCTTGCGCTTGGGCCGAGGCTGGGCTAGAGGATGGAGAAGGACACGGGGAACACACACAGGAGGCACCGGCCCGGCCCCAGGGTCCTGCCCTTAGGAGTGGCCCTCGGGCACCTCAAGGCGGCCAGCGAGGCCTCTGAACTTCAGCGGAGCAGGAGTCTGGAAGGCCTGCAGCTCAAGAGGGACCCTCCCAGCCACCCTAGGAAGCCTCGCAAGGAGCCGGGTAGGGGCTGTGGGGCCGCAGGGAGCGGGTGGACGGCGCGGCTGCTCCACCAGGTCCTGGACCCAAAGTACCCACGTCAGGGCCCAGCCAGTTAGAAAGTCACTTCCCAAGGTTAGGGACGCGCCGAGACAGCCCCAGGAGGTCTGACAACGTGTGTCCAAGGTGGGGCACAGCCCAGTGTCGTACATTTTAGGGGGACATGGGGCATTAATCAGTCCCTGTGGGGGGTACGCTGGTTCTGTCCAGAAAGGGACAGCCCGAGGCAGGAGGGGCTCCCAGGTCGTAGGTAGAGGAGACACAGGACTGCATTCTCCTGGGTCTCGAGCAGCCTTTCACTGAACACCCAGTTTGCACGTGAGGAGTTAGCGGGAGAGTCCCTTGTACGCTAGTCCGGCTCAGTGACTGCAGTTTTACATAAGCAGCCCGGAGGAAGCCGTCAGACACGCTTGTCTCAGGCGAGCAGAGGGAGGACGGTGATCTCCGTCCCCGGTCAGCTGCCCGTCTGCATTCCCCGCGTGGAACTCCACAGAACTGCTTGGGGCAGAGCTCATGAGGCTCGTAGGGCATTTCCTCCTGGGTGAATGACGAGGTGGCCTGTGGCCGTTTATCTCTGCGGCTCTTATTTAGGAAGAGGATGGGAGGCAGGTTTGCCTGACACATCCCAGCCTGACTCTTCCCCTTAGCTCAGTGATTTGGAGCCCGAGATTCGTTTTCCTTCCACAGGCAGCAGGGACCAGGTCAGGCCTCCTGCCTCCCACTGCCCTGTGCTCAGAACGCTAAGGGTGGAAGAGGGGACCATTCCAGGTCCACACCTGTAACCCACCCAGGGCTGCCGGGAAGGCCTTGCGCTGCTGGGGCAGAGCTGTGGGGTCCAGCCGGGCACAGCCAAGGGCGGGAGGGGTGAGAGGAGGGGAGGCCCGGGACCCTCATGGGCCTCCAAAGCCAGCCGACGCCTGGAGAGAGGACCATGGCCAGGCCCCCCATTTGCAAGGAGGCCGTGGGTCCTTGTGGGAGCCTCGGACCTCGCCCACCAGCGAGGAACCTGTATAGCCGGTGTTTGACACGGATGCTTCTAGACCGTGAAATGCGTAGAGGCTGCATCTGTGTCAGTCCACGCTCGCCACTCAGATGTTTCCAGGTGTGCCGAACGGACAGTGGCCTGGGGATGGTGCTAGAGTCACCCCCTCACACCTTGAATACCGGCCTAGAGCACAGGGCTGAGGTGCTGACACGGAGGTGCGAGCGGGCGTCCCCTCCCCTCCCCGCCCCTCCCCTCCCGCGTCCTCGGCAGCTCTGCCTCCCCTTCGCAAAGGTGGCCACGGGGCCGTGGAAGTGAAACAGCCCAGTAGGACTCAGGGTTTGCTCAAGCCCTGGAGACAATTGTAAGAAGTAATGATGTAAAAATATGTGTTCTCTGAGTTTAAAAATCCAAAGATGTGCTGTGTAGGGGTGTGAACTGTCAGGAGGCTGCACCCCACCTCCCTCCCCGCAGGATTCCCTCAAGACGTGCAAAGTTCTCAAAAGAATAAGTTACGCCAAGGCTGCTTAGCGGGAATTTAAGTAGGGGCAGGGAGGAGGTCTCGAACAGTGCTGCCCGGTGCTACCGCAGTGTGGACTTAGAGGCCGGGGTCGGACGGAGGGAGGGACCGAGCCCCATCGTGGCTGACATTTCCCTCAACACCTGCTGGATGTGCCCAAAACCGCGTGATGGGAGGAGCCGCAGCAGGGAGACCGGGCTTCTGTGGGGCTGCTTGTCCTGTCCGGCAAAGACGTCCACCCTGCACAGCCTCCCCCAGGCACCAGCACCCGGGGTCTGAGACCACGGCCCAGGAGCGCATCTCCCGGGAGCTTGGTGGCTGCCCCCAGGCAACTGAGATTCTGCCGGAGAAAAGCAGGAGGCATTTCCAGCCCTGTGACCCCAGGAGATGGGCCCGGCCTTGCTGACCACTGGTAGAGTCAGATGTTCAGCTCCTCGCCCCACACAGACTTGGTGGGCTCGATGACATGCACAGTGCCACGTGCACCCACAGGTGCCTGGATGTGTGAGACGCCGCGTCCACATCACAGGGAGGCCTCCGGGATGCGGGAGAGGTGGGGTGGCCGACTTCACGGGGGACCAGTGCGGGCAGAGGGTGTGTCTGGGCCTGGGCCACGCGGAGCACAGGAGACCAGCGCTCACGGAGGGCAGCCCAGAGGCATAAAGTGGTCCCCAGAAAAGACTACTAGAAACACCCCGCGATGCGCCTCGGGGAGCCCGGAGAACCTGGAGATTGGTGGATTTTCCTGGACAGGCCAAGAGGGGTGTCAGGTCCCACCTGTCCGTGAGAGGAAGCCTGGGTGGAGGATGGTAGCCACATGGGCAGGTCTTGGGGTCTTCTCCCACCCTCGTGCTCAGCTACCTCCAGCCAGCTGCGCTAGGACAAAGAGGAATGGCAAGAGGTCCCGGAGCCTCTTGCGTTTACTGTAAGGCAGCTGGCCACGCCTCGCCCTGAGTCCTGCAGGGAGAAGGTGGAGCCGGGGGTGGGCTGAGCTGCTGGGACTGAGCCAGGCTCAAGACCCCGGCACCAGGCTGTGGAAAGTGCTGGTAGCAAATACAGGAGGGGCTGGGCTTGGGCACGGGTGGGGGAGAAACTCAGGTTAGCCGTAGCCACGGCTGAGAGTTGAGCTCTGCCATGGATGGCTGTGGGCGGCTCTGGGCAGGTCCTGAGCTCCGGTAGCTGTGGTGTGATGGTGCTGACGGCTCTGTCCTTCCTCCCCAGAGTCCGAAGATCAAGGGAAAGACCCAAGCAGTAGCGGGGAAGATGCCAGCTGGTAAGTGGCCTGTCCGGCGCTGGCCTGGGTGAAGGCAGAGCTGGGAAAAGTGAGGCAGACACGGGAGAGGGTGGGGCGTGGGGGTGGCACCCAGGCATCAAGGTAGACACTTAGAAGGGGACCGAGGGAGCCCTGGGTGCTGAGAAGACCCTGCCCAGGGCCCGGATGGGAGGGCTGGGAAATCCTCCTTATTTTGAGAGAAAATTCAGTGTGGGAACGGGGCCCACCTGTAGGGGGTGGTGTCCTCAGGACTCGGGCCCTGACCTGAGGGTCACAGCTGCATCCCTGTCAGCAGACACCCCATGGCCCTCTGGGAAAGGAGGAGGCGTCTCGCTGGTGGACTGCTGGGCCAACCCTGGATGTAAACAACTCGAGTGACCCTTTAGGGAGGGGGCGTGGGGCCCTGGACGGCACAACCTCACTTCATACCGCCGAGTTCTTGCCTCCTTGCACCTCGTGTCCCGTCCCACCCCAGCTCTGGTTCTCCCACCCACTCACCCTCTTGCCATCAAACAAGACTTAAAAGTCCTTGAATTTCTCAAGAATTTGTCTCAGATCTAACAAAGTCGATTTGCCAGCACCATGGACAAGGCACGGGCCAAGTCTGCCTTCTTTACAAATGGCTCCCGTAGAGTGGACACCAAGGAAGGCGTCCAGTCGCCAAAGTGGCCAAAGGTGCAGTCAGTTGGTGAGAGTGAGTGTTTGTGCGTTAGAAAAATGTGTGAGGTGTCTGGAGCCTCCCACCCTGTAGAGCTCAGGGAAGCTGATGGCCTTGGTGAGGGCAGTTGAGGTGGGAAGACCACACACCTTTAGGGTGGCACAGCTGAAAGTGTCTGCTCACGTTGGCCAAGTCAATACCCTTGGCCAAGTCAACACCATTGCAGATGGTGGCAGAGCCCGTCATCCTCACTGCCTGTTGCATTCCTCTTGCCCCTGGCCACACACCACAGCAGACCACAGAAGGGGTTACCAGGTTGGTGTGAGTAACAGCAGGGCCAGCCACGGACCCCCCAGCCTGCTGGCTGGCACAGCCTATTTGGTATCCACATGGAGTGAGCTGTGGATCTGCCACAGGATGGCTGCATCTTCTCACCAGATTTTGGTTCTTTGAGCAAGGTTAGAGGTTGGCTGTAAGTAAATTGGTTCCCAGTCCAGACCCTGGCAGTACAGGGTAAGTTTTTCAGCCGAGATGGGTCAGCAGAGGGAGCCAGGAAGGCCAGGCTGGGAGGCCCTTCAGAGCCAGAACTCTGTGCCGGGTCAGGGTCCCTCATAGGCGCCCACGGACCCCAGGGGCACCAGCCTAGAGCCCAGGGAGACAGTCCCGGAGGAGACCAGGAGCTGCCTGCAGCTGTCTGCCATGACACCTCTTCCAAACCACTTTCCCTGCTCCTCCTGCAGTCAGGAAAACCTAGCACAAGACAAGAAGGAAAGCTTCGGCACCCTTGGGAAGCTGGGTCATGAGAGTGGAAAACGGGACCCAGAGAGGGAGAAGAGCAACTCGGAGGCCAGCACGCAGGAGGCACGGGAAGGCGAGCACGCGGACGGAGGCTCGCAGGAGGCCAAGGTCGGGCCACGCCGAGGAGCGGTGCATTTTTTACCTCTTGTCTTGGAGCCCAGCCTTCACTTACCTCTCTGGTCTTACAGGAACAGGAGGCGGAGTCCATAAAGCTAAATGACCTTCAGGAAAAAGAGGCAAGAGCTTTTCCCTTTAGTAAAAGAAGTAAGATGGGAGGCCTGTCCAAGTAGGAGTTCTGCTGGAGCCTGGGCCTGCCCGGGACCATGGTCTGGGGGTCAGCTCAGCAGGCGCCAGGCTGGGGAGCTGGACTAGGCCCCGCTGTCTCCCTAGAGAGGCTTGGGGCCAAGCTCTGAGACTCTGCCCGATCCCAGGGCAGCCTGACCCCCTCTTGCCAAACGTGCCGTCACTAAAGGTGTATGAGGCCCTGAGAGGAGGTACCCTCAGCTTGATCTTGGCCCAGAAAAACCCCAGAGCCCCAGGCTTGATGTGCTGTCCAGGAACACGTTGTGCTGTGGGGATTGTCATGCGGCCCTGCATGGAGGAAGGTGGCTTTTGTTCTCCCTCCAAGCTGTGTGGTGGGGATGGGAACACGGCTGGACATGCTGCTTGCCAGGTGGGCCTTGGTTTCGTTCCAGGGCTCTTGGGAAGTCCTTCGCCCGCCCCCAAACACCGCCCTTGGAGTTGACTCAAGTGCTCCCATCGGGTACACATTCTGGGCTGGTCCAGGTGCCCAGTTAGAGGCCTTGGGGCAGCAAAACCCTGAGCCACTGAAGCCATTTGCATCCCGGGCGGGTCTCCTGCTCCTTGGTGCGGAGTGTGGCCCACAGGCAGGCTGTGGGGGCAGCAGTGCTGCCTTGTCGAACAGGGCTGGGGTGGGAGCAGCCGGGCTCCCTAGCTCTGGGCAGTGCCCCATCTCCTGGAGGCCCCAGTTCTCAGAGGGTGAGGCTGGAGGAAACCCTCTGGGGTCTCAGGGCCCTGATGGGAGGTGATTAGGGAGGGGTGAGAAAGCCGTATCCCCCCTCCATCTCTACTGCCAGAGCTGGCCATGGACACCTCACAGTCCACACTGCCATCAGCTCTGCCCAGCGTCCCAGGAGCCCTCGTTCAGCATTGCCAGGATCTGGGGGCCTGATAGTCATCACCAGGGTCTGCCCCAGCTGCCCCAAGGGCCAGGAGCCACTGTTCCTCCCAGGGAATCAGCGTTCCTCTCCAGCTCACCCAAGCCTGCCATCCACACCTCTCTGGTTTCCATTTGCAGAAAGCATCTGTGTTTGTGGAGATTGACCTGGGAGACCATGCTGAGGAGGTAAGAATGGAAACCCCCAAGACAAGCAGAGCCAAAGCCGTCAGGAAAGGGCCTGTGCTGCCTGGCAGGGCCAGCCTTGGAGGCTTTTCTGGGAACTTGCCCCACAATAGGCACGTGCTGGACGGGGAGGCAGAGACCTGGGGCCAGCAGCTCCAGAAGAGCTCTCTGATGTTGAGGATTGGTCTAGCCTCTTCCTTACCCTCCCACACTCCAACTCACACACACTTCGGCACTATCAGAGACTCTAGGGCTTGGGTTAACCCTCAAGGTGCCCATGGGTCCTCAGAACCTCTTGTGAGATCACGTTGGGGTGGTGAAAAGGGCACAGACCTGGAAGCTCAGAGACCGGGCTTTGGTAGATGTGTGGTTCTGTCAGTAAATGCTCAAAACAACTCATCATATTTCCCTGTGCCTCAGTTGTCTCCTCTATTAAGTAGAAATCATATTAGTACCTGCATCCCAGGGTTGTTTGGGAAAGCTCTCAGAGCAGTGCCTCATACCCAGGAAAGCTTCAGTATGGAGTATCATCATCAACACCACCATTACTATCATCACCATCAACACCATCATTATCATATCACAACCATTACCATCATCATCATCATCACCATCAACATCATCCCCAAAGACATCATCACCATCATCATTAATATCACCATCATTATCACATCACCACCATCATTCCCATCACCAGCATCATCGCCACCATCATTATCATGACCATCATCACCACCACCATCATCACCATCACTGTTGTCATCACCATCACCACTACCACTATCACTATCACCATCATCATGAACATTATAATCATCATCATCATCACCATCACCATCATTAATATCACCATCATTATCACATCACCACCATCATTCCCATCACCAGCATCATCATCACCATCACTATCATGACCGTCATCACCACCACCATCATCACTATCACCATCACCACTATCACTATCACCATCATCACCATCACCATTATCACCATCATCACCTTAACCATCATCCCCACCATTATAATCACCATCACCATCATCACCATCATCATCACAACCATTGCCAGCATCATCACCATCATCACCATCATCACTAACACTATCACCATCGTCACCACCATTATAATCACCATCACCATCATCACCTTCACCATCATCACCACCATTATCACCATCACCATCATCACTCATCACCACCATTATAATCACCATTATCATTATCACCATCGTCACCACTGTTATAATCACCAGCATCATCACCACCACCATCATCATCCTTATCTATAAAAGGAAGAGGCTGACTTAATGACCTGTCTGGGCCCTTCCAACACTAATATCTGGGGTATGTTCCTCCATTTATTTGCTGTGGTGAACAGTCATCATTTTGGAAGTTTCTTGAAGTTCTTTCTTGGCAAGTTTAAGCTCCTTCCTGGGGGTCAGTTATTTTCCAGACTGCACCTTCTCTCCCTTTTGCCCTCAGAGCATGCCACAAAGCAGAGAAAGCTGGCGATTAACCCCCAACAAGGCTATTCTTGGGGCACATGAGTTCTAAGGACTCAAGGAGGGCCAGCCAGTGGCACAGTTGGGCTGACAGGCCAGACCTGGTCTTCAGTGCCGGAGCCTGGCCACATCAAGGGTGCAGTTCCTTGGTCAGGTTCCCCTAACTGGAAATGTTCAGACAATAGACAGCCCGGTCTGATGGGAGGTCATCCAGGCCCAGGCAGCCTCTGTGCCCTGGCCTGATCCTCCAGCAGGTCCACAGGCTATACCTCAGTGCCCATGGCTGACACCTCCCATCCCTTAAACGTCTCCACTCCCCACAGGTGGTCACCGATGCCAAGAAGGAAGAGAAGCCGTCCCAGATGGATGTGGGAGATCTGTCAGAAGACGAGTGAGTGATGCTTGTGGGCTCACACTAGGTGGGGGTAGGAGGACTGTTGCTCCATCATGGTTTCTGATGTGCCCACCATGCCTTGTGTGTGGTGGGCAGAGCTGAGCCCAGGCGGTCCCCCCTTCTCCCTGGGTGCTGCCGAGGCTCAGCATCTACCGAGCCTGAGGGGCTGAGGGCAGGCAACAGGACATCGGACCTTGGAAAGGCTCAGGGATGAGCTTCATGATGCCCCACCTCACCCCATAACCAGGCTGTGTCTCCTACCCGTCAGCCAGGAAAAGGACCTGATGAGAGGGGGCAGAGGAGGGAGAGGAGGGAGGAGGGAGCGGGGAGAGGTGATAAGTGCATGGTACTGGCTTCTCCTGTTTAGGTTTTAGCTGCAGACTTGAGTCCTGCAGGTGATGGGAAGCTGTGCATACATGCTGGTGTCACAGCCAAGCCGGCTGCTCTCACAACGAGCCTCAGGCCCTGGGGCTGGGGCAGCCCTCGAAGAGATGACCTGTGTCCCCAGGCTGGATGCTGTGTAGGTCCAGGGAAGCCCCAAGACTTCCTGAGGCCCCGAGGCCCTCAGCCATGAAGAGGGGTGTGGGGAGGGAAGACATGTCTGGCCCATTGAACGGGGCCATGTGCCTATAGTGTTTTATTTTAAACAACACACGAAAATACAAAAAGCAATTGTCCAAATGCCTACCACTCAGAACTAACAGTTTATGAGTATCTTGATTTATTACAGGTTTTTTTAAAAGGATGAATTGTTCTACTGGCTTTGTAAAACAGTCACATGATACTAAACCTTCTTTCAGCCTATAATCCCAGCACTTTGGGAGGCCGAGGCAGGCAGATCACGAGGTCAGGAGATCGAGACCATCCTGGCTAACACGGTGAAACCCTGTGTCTACCAAAATACAAAAAATTAGCTGGGCGTGGTGGTGGGCGCCTGTAGTTCCAGCTTCTCGGGAGGCTGAGGCAGGAGAATCGCTTGAACCCAGGAGGCAGAGGTTGCAGTGAACCGAGACCGTGCCACCACACTCCAGCCTGGGTGACAAGAGTGAGACTTCATCTGAATAAATAAATAAATAAATAAATAAAAGAAATAAGAACCCATAGGGATTGGACACTCACCAAAACAAGATGTTATGAAGAAAATTTGAAAACTTTTAACATTTGGCCGGGTGCGGAGGCTCACACCTGTAATCCCAGCCCTTTGGGAGGCCAAGGCGGGTGGATCGCTCCTGCCCAGGAAAGCCGAGAACCCTCAGCCATGGCTATAATGAATGGGCGTCAGCTCACGTGCACACTTGTGTGTTCGTTGGAAAATGCTTTGGCAGGCTCCATCTCTCTCTCTCTTTTCTTTTCTTTTTTTTCTTTGTTTTGAGACAGAGTCTTGCTCTGTCACCCAGGCTGGAGTGCAGTGGTGCAATCTCAGCTCACTGCAAGCTCTGCCTCCCAGGTTCATGCCATTCTCCTGCCTCAGCCTCCCGAGTAGCTGGGACTACAGGCACCCGCTACCATGCCCGGCTAATTTTTTTGTATTTTTAGTAGTCGGGGTTTCACCATGTTAGCCAGGATGGTCTCGAACTCCTGACCTCGTGATCTGCCCGCCTCAGCATCCCAATGTGCTGGGATTACAGGCGGGAACCACCATGCCTAGCCTCCATCTCTTTTTTAATTAGCATGATCTGGATTTTCTTTTTCCTAGTGTTGCCTTTTCCTGTACCCACCCAACACAATACATCCCCAGGACTGTTAGAGGGAATCTACAGATCACGCAGAGCACTGCACACTCCACAGCATCACAGTAACTACAGATTGGAAAAAAACTTGACAACTAGTCTACAAAACTGGAACCACTTTTGTATATTATTTAATTAATTGTGCTCTTAATATTTCCCACCTTTTTGTACCCCTATTTATTAGAGTCCTTTCCACAAAAAGCAGTTTTGGACCAGAGTTGATTATAAATGTTTTTAGAGAATAATTCAGAACAATGACTACAGACACAAAACCTTAGAACAGCCACAGTTAAAATTTGATGAAAGCTTCTAACCAACAAGAAAATAGTTATTTCTATTACACATAACATTGTAAGAAAACAACCAAAATCATGACAGACAGTGTCACATCAGGACAGCCAGGCTTCTATAAATTTTACATAATCTTTAGAACATTCACATGGATAACAGGCCCATACAAATATAATTTACAATTGGACATTATCAAAATTATGACTAATATTAATATAAATTTATATAATTTTTAGAACATTTATATCAATAACATGTTCACAATTATAACTGAAAGAAGGTTTAGTATCATTTATCATTTGATGATGCTACCCATACAGTTTTACCAAATCGAATTGTTTAATCTGAAAAGACTTTATGTAGGATTTTGATTCTGTGGAAACCTGCGAAAGATGTCAAAAGGTTCAAAACAATAAAAACAGAATTATGGATCATTTAAAAATAATAGTCACTCATTTAACCAGAGTGATTATCAAAAGACCTCACAGGCAATTCAGAAAGTTACATTGCTATAAAACCATAACTCTTTTAAAGCCCAGTTGTCTTAAGTAATCAAAATTTAATAAAGATAATGCAGAAATTATCTTGATAAAATATTTGTTTTTTAAGCCAGTTATCAAAAGGTACAGAGAAACCTGCAGTGTGATTGCCTCTCCTTGAGGGAAGCCCATGCAGGAAGATCTGACCTGGAAGTCAGATCTGATGAGAAGGGCACTGGAACCTCGCCAGATACAGAAAAGCATCTCCAGGGCTGTTGGTGTGCACTTGATTACAGAGGACAGTAAACAAGGAAACTAGTGGGGAACTAGTTGGGGAACACACAGCTCTTGGTAACAGCATGAGAAGTTTTCTGATTATGTTGAACAATTCAGACGTAGCGAGAAAAGCCAAGTGTATAAATTGAAGCTGCACTTAAGGAAAACGTTGCTTAAACAACAGAGGTAGAGCTAGAGGAAAAGGTTGCAGGACTTGACAAAAAGTTTGAAGGAGAAAGTTCTTATCCCAGGCCTTCTTAAGGGGAGAAAGAGCTGAGACAGCCACACACAACCTGCAAACCACACGTTGCAAGGGACAGCAGAAGCTGAGTTTCTGAGATGTAGATCTGAGCAGTTTCAAAAGAAATGATGTCAGAGTTAAAAAAAACCTCTTGCAATTTCATTAAGAGCAAACCAGTACTTTAAGGAAACTTCATGGTGACATAGGGGACCAATCTTTAGTTTTGTATTAATGTATATTTAATATCATAGCAATCTTTTTTTTTTTTTTTTTTTTTCTGAGACAGAGTCTCGCTCTGTTGCCCAGGCTGGAGTGCAGTGGCGCCATCTCCACTCACTGCAAGCTCCGCCTCCCAGGTTCACGCCATTCTCCTGCCTCAGCCTCCCGAGTAGCTGAGACTACAGGCGCCTGCCACCACGTCTGGCTTATTTGTGTGTGTGTGTGTGTTTTTAGTAGAGACGAGGTTTCACCATGTTAGCCAGGCTGGTCTTGATCTCCTGACCTCGTGATCTGCCTGCCTCGGCCTCCCAAACTGCTGGGATTACAGGCATGAGCCACTGTGCCTGGCCCAAAGTTCAATCTTTAGAAAGACATATAAATAATTCCCTTTTAATCACAGCCCACTTACACACATAATTCTTTTCATAAATTATCTTTTCGTAAACCTTATCATGACTTTTACAGATCATTCTGACATGCTTGGACTTTCTGCTTTGTCCTACACATCTTTTAAAAATAGCCAGTCATTTTACTTCAGGATAAAAAGAGAGAGAACTTGGACAAGTCCACATGTTAACTCTATCCTGGCAGATTGCCATTTGAGCTCCGAATTTTCCTTGATATAATTTGCTCATTGGTTTAAAATAAGCAAAAAATGGGCCAGTGACAGCCTTAGAAAGCCTGGTATGCCTTAATGTTTTAGAACACCATTTTTGGCCATTTCTTCATTAAATCTCCTTTCATGAACCCCTCCCATCTAGAACGGCTCTGTGTGCCACACGCCTGCCGGGCACTGACTGGAGGTTGGTCATCCAGTGCCTGTTGTTTGACTTTGCCATGATTTATTTCCCACTGGGAGTCAGATTAAAAGGGGAAGCACCTGCTCAACCTGGCCAATCAGACAGCCTCACACATTCTACCCAATCAGACAACCTCACACAATCTACCCAATCAGACAACCTCACACATTCTACCCAATCAGACAACCTCACACATTCTACCCAATCAGCCTCACACATTCTACCCAATCAGCCTCATACATCCATTTCTTCTTAGAATCTTTTCCTTTTCTTCTTTTTTGAGACGGAGTCTCACTCTGTCACCCAGGCTGGAGTGTAGTGGTGTGTTCCCAGCTCACTGCAACCTCCACCCCCTGGGCTAAAGTGATTCTCCTGCCTCAGCCTTCCAAGTAGCTGGGGCCACAAGCGCCACCATGCCCAGTTAATTTCTTATTTTAGTAGAGATGGGGATCTCCCTGTGTTGGCCAGGCTGGTCTTTTAACTTTTGAGCTCGAGTGATCCACCTGCCTCAACCTCCCAAGTGCTGGGACTATAAGCATGAGTCACAGCACCTTGCCCCTAGTATCTTTCAACTAGGAGAATTTTTCTCCTTAACAAATGAGAAGTCTCCATCAAGGAGTGGGAGTGGTGGCTGAAGAAACTCAGGGCTGTCAGCCAAGCAGGAGGTCTGAGCCCTAGCACAGCCCCAGGGGGACCCAGGAGAGACCCAGGGGGACCTGGGAGAGACCCTAAGAGGATCCCATAGAGACCCCAGGAGAGACCCCAGAGGACCCAGGAGAGACCACAGAGAGATCCCAGGAGAGTCCCGGGAGGACCCAGGAGAGACCCCACCATGTGCAGCTGTGCAGGGGCCAGAGAGGCCCAAGGGCCTGTGCTGGGGCCAAGGTGCCAGGTCCCTGCAGTGTCCCAGGCAGCCCTGGGCAGCCTGCCAGGAGTCCCTTCATGGGCACCATGATTGCCAATTAAGGAAGAAAAATCAAGCTTTTCAAGAGTTTGTTTTACATGGAAGTCTTAGTGAGGACTGTGCACTGAGGCCGTCACCTGCAAGCTGTCTGTCCACTGCCCCACGCCGTGTTTCTGTTCACAGTTCCCGGACAGGCGGCGGGGGCTGGGCGCTTGCAGAATCACATCAAGGTTTGAGTGCGAGAGCATGTTTGGCTGTAGATTACAGAGGCGTAATCACGAACCGCAGCAGACGTCGTGTGCAGGAAAAGGCACAGACCCAGGTCACTGATCTTTTAAGAGCGTAGTGGCTCCAGGCGGAGATGGAGGCAGGGCCCATGTGCTCTGTGCTGTTTTGTGTTCAGGCATCCTTCTGGAGACCCGCATGTCCTCTGAGTCAGGGTTCAAGCAGAAACTGGCAGACTGGGCTTCTCGTCCGCCACTCACCACAGCCCCTGAGGGCTTGATGAAATGGGATGCATGCGGAGTGCAGGGGAGACCCCCCTGCGGTTGATGAAAGGGGGTGCATGTGGAGTGCAGGGGAGACCCCCAGTGTGCTTGATGAAAGGGGGTGCATGCAGAGATGCAGGGGAGACCCCCAGTGTGCTTGATGAAAGGGGGTGCATGCAGAGATGCAGGGGAGACCCCCAGTGTGCTTGATGAAAGGGGGTGCATGTGGAGTGCAGGGGAGACCCCCAGTGCGCTTGATGAAAGGGGGTGCATGCGGAGTGCAGGGGAGATCCGCCTGCGCTTGATGAAAGGGGGTGCATGCAGAGTGCAGGGGAGACCCCCAGTATGCTTGATGA